GTTCCCAGAGCTCTGCATTTGATTCCTCGATTCCTCTTTTACAAGCAGAGCCGGAATCAAGCTGACTCCACAACGTGAGGAGTCCTTTCCACTGAGACAACCATCACTCGGTAGTATTTCAATGTGAGCAGGGCTCCAAACCATATTTCATCCCTTTATTTTACCACTTGTTTAGTAGGGATTGGTCAGTTCATGATTCCCAAGTAGACTAGGTCGTTTTTGAAAAGAGCTCCTCAACCAGACCGGTCACTGTTTGACATCGCAAAATTTAGCCACCAAAAATATGCCCCTGTTCCCCGAAGATCCATGTTACCTCAGTCCAGCACCTTGTGCATAATGATGTCATCAGGATTGTCCCCGCCCTCCAGGCTCGAGGCTGAGGCTGGATTGGGGGCTCTGAGAAATCCAGGGATCGGCCACAATTCAGATTATCACAAGTATTGTCTATGTATATATATATATATATACATATATACATACACATGTATATGTATGTAAATATACATACATACATACATACATGCATTACATTACATTACATTACATTACATTACATTACATTACATTACATTACATTACATTACATACATACATACATATATCTATATATATATATGTATGGGTAGACATACATGTGTATATACATACATACATACATACATACATACATACATACATACATACATACATACATACATACATACATACATACATACATACATACATACATACATTACATACATTACATACATAACATACATACATACATACATACATACATACATACATACATACATACATACATACATACATACATACATACATACATACATACATACATACATACATACATACATACATACATACATACATACATACAACATACATACATACATACATACATACATACATACATACATACATACATACATACATACATACATACATACATACATACATACATACATACATACATACATACATACATACATACATACATACAACATTACATACATTACATACATTACATACATTACATACATTACTTACATTACATACATTACATACATTACATACATTACATACATTACATACATTACATACATTACATACATTACATACATTACATACATTACATACATTACATACATTACATACATTGCATACATTACATACATTACCTACATTACCTACATTACATACATTACATACATTACATACATTACATACATTACATACATTACATACATTACATACATTACATACATTACATACATTACATACATTACATACATTACATACATTACATAATTATATATTTACACATTACATACATTACATACATTACATACATTACATACATTACATACATTACATACATTACATACATTACATACATTACATACATTACATACATTACATACATTACCTACATTACATACATTACATACATTACATACATTACATACATTACATACATTACATACATTACATACATTACATACATTACATACATTACATACATTACATACATTACATAGATTACATAGATTACATACATTACATACATTACATACATTACATACATTACATACATTACATGCATTACATACATTACATACATTACATACATTACATACATACATACATACATATATCTATATATATATGTATGGGTAGACATACATGTGTATATATATATATACATACATGTACATATATATATATACATACATATATGTATATATATGTACATATATATATGTACATATTTATACATATATATATATATATGTACATACATGTATACACATATATACATATGTATTTCCACATATATATATATATACATCTATACACAGATATACAAATATACATATATACATATTTACACATATACACATATACACATTTACACATATACACATTTACATATATACATATATACATACATATATACATATACACATATATGCATATATGCATATATGATATATGCATATACATATATTTACATATATACACATTTACACATATAGACCTATATATATATATATGAATCCCGTCCCCGTACCCCCCACCCCCCCCCCCCTCCCCCCCCATTGTATCCCCCCCTCCCCCCCCCACTCCTACCCCCCCCCACCCCCCCAAAACCTAGTATTTGCATGTTATTTGCACATATACATACACATATACACATATATACTCCCCTTTCCACCCCTCCAACCTCGCATCTCTACGTTATTTGCAGCACTTGAGAGCCACGACCTCGTCAACGGACCTACCTGTATATTTCTATCATAACCTTTTTTTCGAACCGCCTATAGCGTGCCTCGCACATGGTTTACAACATATTTGCTACCTATGGATTACGCAAAGCTTACCTATGCAAACCTAGACATATGTACAGTAGAAAAACAATAAATACATATATATATATATGCACATTCTAGATACTACAGATTGATATCTTGATATTGTATCTATCACATATTTCGTTTACATTGTACATACTGTACACGTATATATATATATGTATATATATAATATATGCATATATATATACATATATATATACATAAACTCTAGATATACAGCGTGTATTGCTGTCGATATTCAATATACCACATATACTATGTAAAATTTATTCAACGAACATATTTACCTATATTGTATATATTACATCTACTGTGGATACAGTACATGTGGCATATACTATCTATAGTCTATCAAAAACCACATATAGGATGTATATATATATGTTCAATATATAAATATATATATGTGTCAAATATATATATATATTATAAATATATATGTATAGATTGCATATATTCTATTTATATCTTACATATTATATATATGTTTATATATATATACACTACACATACACTCTATATTACATATAGTATATCCATTCTAATTATCGATACATATGCATTATATGCACTATAAAGACTACATACACCATGGCTTGGCTGCTGAGAAAACCCCCCCCCCCCTGCCACAGGGGGGGGAACCATCTGGCTGGGTGGGGGGGGGGTGTGGGGGTCCCTGCTCTTATATACATATATACACATATACACATATAGACCTCTATATATATACATATATATATATATACATATATACATATATACATATACACATATACATATATATATATATACAGAGAGAGAGAGGGGGAGATTGAATTGTTTATGTTTGCATATATGTGATTGTGACCAGAAAAATGGCAATGTGTGTAGTAAATGTTGGGAAACGTCTTGGGGGAATTAAAGCATCTCCTATTTTGAAACATATCAAATGAAATCCCGACCCAATGCCAAGAAATTTGGATTCTCGATCCCAATGCGAGTCTCCGCTCAAGTAATGTACCCCAATCGGCGTGTGGCCATTGAAGGCCGTTTTGAATGTTGAGCCGGGCTGCTTGTCACTGAGAATTGGCAAGATCCCCATGCTGTTTGCAATCCCTTTTACTGGTTGGTTGAAAGGGATTGCAAATCATATAATGTATCTAGATAGAGACATAGACAGATGGATGTAGAGATGGATGGATGGATCCATCTGATGGATAGATGAACAGGATAAGAAAAGTGAAGATCATGGGAACTAGATTATCTTAGATAGGATAAGATCAGATGCGATAGGATACATAAGATAGATAAGATTGGATTGGATTATACAGATCAAATGGGATTGGACTGGAGTAATTTGAATTACATTTAGGCTTGTGTTTAGATTAAGATTAGACCAAATAGGTCAGGATGGATTGATGTATTGATTCTGGATATAGAAAACGTCCACTACTAATATGATTATGGGTCAGTTCACCCTGGTACCCTGCTGTTCACCCGCACATAGCTAGGACCTAGGATTTAGCTGGATGAATCCCCGCAAATTTATGGAAACTTTATGGCTTTGATCCCATATCAAAGAATCCCCATCTGAGTCCTTCTGCCAATGGGGTACCCAAGAATCCTTCAACAAAATCATCGGTAACTTGATTTGTGGAAATTTCATTGGTATCATCATTTTCCCAATTATTTCCTCAATGATTTTCCCAGCATGTCTCCCAAGTTATGTTCCCAAGAAACAACAAGCACGCCATCAAAAAAAAAACCGCCCAGGCTGGCCTCACGGTTAGCAGCCCACGCCTCAAAGACGGAATCGGTCTCATCATCCTGGACGAACTGCATTTTGAGGGACTTATCTTACTGAATTCCAACATATCCAACATACTTACTGGGAACACAATGGGCACTTGATGTTGGATGATGTTACAATGTTGGATGCTTAAAACCTGAGAATTCCTACGGCGAAAAAGCTGGGGTCCCCGATCAATTTACTGCGTGGCTGCTTTAATTCCACCCCATTGAGCTTGTAGTTCTTCTTACAGCAACCCCCGAAAAGATAGAAAAGTAAATTCTTACCGAAATAGTGACAAATTATTACTCTTTCCTTTTTGGAGGTTACTATGACCGAGAAAAACAATATCATGCACAGGCTTGGTCTCCCCAAATCAATGAGACTTCAAGGGCGGGCAATCCCCGCATGAAAATGTTGGGTTTACCAGCAAGAAATGGCGATTCACCGTTGAAATATTACTTGCAATCATGCAGATTCAGCAAGTTTCATGTCTTCTACTTGGGTCGCTCAGCTGAAGAGTTTGCTGCTAGTCACAGCAAAGAGCTCGTGTGCAGGGTTCGCTATGCTTCTGGCAGCATTGTACTTTGGGCATAGTTGTCTATGAGGTTTACGGTAATTCTTAAACTCCTTGAAAACGGATGGGGGAAAAGGGACTTCTGGTGTAGGTGTGAGTGCTCATTCATATTTCTCTCCACCATGATAATGTCGGACAGTAGAAATGCTGACAAAAAATGGCTACGACTCGATCCGGCCCAAAACTTGGATAGTTTACTAAACATGACTCATCGGTACTGTTTTTTGAGTCATCCCCATCTCTGATCATCTGGGATTTCCCCAAACGCTTCGCCCGCTTTTCTTGGATGCTTTTCCGAGATCGGAGGTGCTGGCGTCTAGGGGCAAATGGCCCCAATTGCCCCTGCGCACCAAATCTAAACTGTGTGCTCACTAGCGGCTGCTCTCAAGTATCAAATAACCCTTTGGAGCCAAAACTCGTTGAAAAGCGAAAATTGCAGTGACTAGCGTTGCGATCCCGCAAGAGAGCCCCACGGCCAGCCAAACATTACAAAGCGATAATATGCCAAACAGTCGTAGGGCACCAACTGCCGCTGATGACATACACCAAAAGAAGATACTAAGCCAAAGGACCTGATCTTGGTTTCATCCCGGAAATACCAATCATTGGAGATCATCATCCTAATTTAGATGAATAAAAACAAAATACATTGCAACCTCCAACCAGAGACCGTACTCCGTTCCTGTGCACCATAAAGAGCACCCTCCAAGGTCAGCAGCAATGGATACACCGCCAAGAAAGGTACCAGCGCTGGACTCGTTCTGGACATCTCGCCCTTGGATCATAACAGACCCAAAGAATGGGGCAGTTCAACATTGTTTTACATAGTTTAACAGTTTAACCTATAGTTTCACAAATATAGTTTAACATATAGTCTAGTGTATATAACATAATATGGTTTAACAATGGTTAACAATGTTTAACATATATATAATTTAATTAATATAGTTCAACACTGACCAAGATCTGAGGTTTGCCTTACATGCTGAACACCCCCATCACTGAGAAAGAACTAAAGGGAAAGTAGAAAAAGACTGCCTTCAAATTTCAGTCGTCCACCACATCTGGATCACTGGAAAGGATCCAACCAAACTTCCGGCAAAATATCACCACACTTACCGAAGCTGTCAAAGACAGAGTCAATGCCTCAAGAGCCGATTACAAAAAAAAACTGAAGGAGGAGTTGATTGATAAATCTCCTTTCGAGGGGGCCCTTGAAAGTACGGCCATCCCAAAACACCGACAGACTTTCGAATGATCGTCTAGTTGCGCTAGCTAAGAGCCTTCGTAAGGTCCAAAAGGACTTGCGGCTCACAGCCCCGCACTCCTGTCCTTCACAAAATGCTGCAAGAATCGGTGGAATGAATGCTTGTGCCGCCCAGCTGAATGGATTTCCAATCGCCACAGCAGAAAGGAGGAATAGGGTTTGAAAAAGCTGATGCGCAGCAGCAGCTGTGGTTCCAAAGGAACAAGCAGCTGTGGTCATGTTTGCCAGCACCAACATCTTCAAAAAAACAGCCAGGAGGACAGGTCCCGCGAATCGCAAAAAGCGCGAGATCGATCGGAAATTCCGGGGCCAAGCAAAGGGCCGAGGCCATCGGCCACTCTTCACCAGCGCACAGATCAGGTAGGCATAGCCGATCAGAGAGGCAACCACCGAAGCGGCCGCCACCCCAGCCAGACCATATTTTGGGCTCAGCCTGGTGAATTCATCCAAATCGGATCCCACTTGAAGATCATGAAGACATCAGATATCCTAAATATTCCTAAATTATGTTAACCCATTGTCAACTATTGTTAACCCATTTTTCTGGTATTTTTTCATGTGTTAGAAAAAGGTTTATGGTTGCACCACCCAGCAACAGTCCGTCAGCAACAACATTGATCACCATGCCCACCAGGGTGACCATTAGAGGCGTAGCCCCATCTTTGGCCGCCAAACAGAAGGAGGTGGCCACTGATGTGCCGCGCTCGATGGGTGCACCGATGGCCCGGATCTGAAGGTAAATCATGGACAGCGGCAACATCGCCGGGGTGGCGCCCATCAAACGTGTCAAGGGTCCGGCCAAGGCAAAGAGAAATAGGGTCAGAAACAAACCAGAGCTGGTGGCCAGAAAAATGGCGTGCGATCTGATCTTACGAAGCTGTAGTGGATCACCAGCTGACATGCCCAGCAGGCTCAGGGTTGCCGTATTCAAAAAGGTCAACACCAGAGAGGCACTGTCAAAGACAGAAGCTGCGGGTCCCATGGCCGCAAGCTGCAAAGAACTGGACCGACCCAGGAAAGCTTTGTCCACGGTGGTCATCGAGCTGTTGGCCAAGACCAAAAAGAAAGAAGGCAAAACGAATCTTGCAATTTCGCCAGCTGCTGGGACACTTGCAGCTTCAGGGCCTCCATCCAGCTCGGGTGGCTGTCCACTGGGTCCCGAACCCTCAGAATCTGAAATGGTCTCCACAATCGTTGCAGGATCTGTGGTGGTTATACTGGCTGTTTGTTTCGAGCTGGGACGGCTATTTGGCATGTCAGCTCGCATGCGCCGCAGCATTCGGCTCTGAGTATAGGGATCGTAGTACTGTCGCGTCGACTCCAATTTCAAAACAAGCCAAAGCGAGATGAAGAGTGGAGGTATCCAAACGTGACGAGGCATCCATTCCAGACCTGGCCGATCAAGTCGAAGCCTCACCCCAACTGCTAACTAGTACCTTTTTCACGGACTTATATGGGTGTGTCCGAAAATGGGTGCACCCCAAAGTGGCAGTTTTTACTTGGGAAATGATGATAAACCGTTAGATTTTAGGGGTACCCAATCTTAGACAAACCAAGAATAAAATGGTTTGTATTGCCATTTTTGAAACTGCAAGTCTCCATGTTTCCCATGTTTTTTCGACATCAGCCTCTGAGGAAGAACTTCCCCAGCACTTCCGCTTGCACCACAAGGACGTGCCCCGAGGCGATCGCTGTAGCCGGGATCAGGGCCCCGAGCATCGCCGAGCGCAGGAAGGGCTGCAGTTCAAAGAATTCTGCAGGTGGCCTCGTCACCGTGACACACGTGGAATGGGGATCGAATTCAGGCATTGATGAAAATATATGCAACATAAGGAACCATTGAAATTCATAATGATTCATATAAACATATATATATAGTTAAACCCACCTACCACATGCCAAGTAGGGGGTTTAAGACACCAAACGCAAGCAACAACGGCAAGTGACTTTTACCACAGTGTTTGAGCCAAATGTAAATGTGGCAATGCCAAAATTAGTTCTTCACAACTGGAAAGACAAGCTAGATACAAGGGGTGATAAGAGGGATGCCTTACGGCTATTTCTCATGCTTCTCGTTGTGGTCAACAGATCCCCGAAAAACATGATTCCGAGTGGAATTGAGATAACAAATCAAACGCAAGGTTTGCCTATCCTCCCAAGCTGTCCATTTGGAAACCCTTGTTGTTAACCGTCCAACAACAAAACTGATGTCGGGTCTCGCCAGCCATGACAACCACAAGCACCTCATGAGAATGCGAGCAGCGTGCTTATGCAATACCCCTTCTCGCATGAAGTCTGCATCGGACATTGACGATTCAGGCAAGCACGAATTTGGCGCTGACTTCAACTTTTCTTGGAGGGTTCCGGATAACTCAAGTATAGATATGCACACGCCCATCCACTGTATTCATCCCTGATGACCTGAACACTGTGCTCTTTCCCACTGCTAAGCTTTTGCACAATGATGAAGTCTGTGGCGATCCGCTGACCGAACTGGGTAGTCGGGTCAAGAGCCCCCTTGTCCTCTAAAAGATCATGTCTAAACCTTCTCACCTTCTTGCGATACATGGGGCATGCTGGATTCTTCGGCTACAAGCCTACGCATGCGATCAATTGGTTCCTCACCTTTGTCATCACCATCCGATGAATGATCTGGAACATCTGGATCAACCTGTGCTGGCCGCCCCAGAGGGTGTGCAGGCGGTACTGGATCCGCAACTTCACCGGCAAGGCCCTTCGAAAATTGCAACTGCTCTTTGAAAATTGGAACAAAATCATCAACCCGATCTACATAATGAAGCTTACACTTTTCAGCAGAAATTTGAACATCACCTGATGACATTGCAAAGTAGGGTAACTCATTGGGAAGCCAAATGAAAGGTTTACCAGAACTGACCATCTGATCCAAGAAGCGAACAATGGGGCAATCCTCCAGGACTCCATGACGCTGAAACTTGCATTCCCGAAGCGGTCTCCGACCAACTTGACACAAGAGTCACTAGTGTAAGTCCCGTTACCATACCCGATCGAATTATGGGGGAGACGTCGCACCCGGCTTCTTGTAAGATAATTCCAGGGGACTTCCAAAAACCCTATAAAAAGAATTGGTTTTGGGGAATTTTGGCCCTTACAAAAAGCATAGGTTTTTAGCACCCACATTCGACTTCAAACACCTATACCATTTTATAAGGCGATGACTTTCTTCATGATATGAAAGTTGCATCCTACTCGATGACCTTTTTATAAGAAGTTGTGATTTTAGAGAGCGTTTTCGGGCATCATTTTGTAAGGAAACAACTTCTGGTTCCCTGTTTCTGGTTTT